GGGAGCGCCGGCCTCGGGCAGCTTCGCGCTGGCCGGGCGCGGCGCTCTCGGACAGGTGGGAGGCGCCAGGCCCCCAGCTCCGCGGCGACCGACCCCGCCCGTGGTGGGCATCCCCGGCCAAGGAGGCAGAGCAGCCTTCCTCAGCCTTGGGCCGCCGGCTACGTGGTCTGGGAGCGGCCCCTGGCGACTTGCTCGCGGGAACCAGTGGCCAGGGACCCGGGCGCTAAGTTCGCGGCTCAGGAGCCTCCAAGCTGGGCACCGAGGGCGGGATCCCAGAGAGCAGCCCGGAGGTGAGAGCCAGTCGCTGGGACGCCAGGGGGTGTGCTGTCCGGGGCACATAGTATACACCCCCTCCCGGACTGCAAATGGGGTCCCCTCCTCCGCCCATCTTGGGGAAGAGCGCTGGCTTTGCGGGAGGATTGCCGGATATCACCGAACAATAGGAAGGAGCGAAACGGAGGAGCTGCTGGCCGAAATTTGGTAGCAGAAAGCAAGGAACGTGATGCGTAGGAAAAGCAGAAATGCAGAGTCCTCAGGAGGATGGTGGCCGGCCTGGAAAGGGGAGGCTGTCACAGAGGGACTGGAGTCCCCTAAACCGAGCCGTGAAGTGACTTGTCCATATTACACTCGGGATAACCCGTTGGAGGCTGGAGCCAGAATCCCAGCCAGTTTTAGGGTCGCAGGGTACCTTTTAGTTTGGTCTGTGAAGAGGTTAGGTGCCAGATTTCCTTGTGATTTGTTCTCTCTGGTTTCAAACAGTGGCCTTTTGGTTACTGACGATATGGTTCAGATTTTCCTAAATTATGAATAGTAGCATTATCCTACTAAGCAATTTGCATGTCTGATGTACTTCATTTAATAACTGCTTTTAGCAAGTTTTAACCTTGATAAACAAAGCAAGAAATCCTCACAGATCTCAGAAACCACAGTCCCAACCCTCCACAGTGTGGGCAACAAATACCCATATTCATAGATGAGAAAAAAATCTCATGCAGAGCTGGCTGGAACAGATATTCCTAAGCTAACTTCCTTACATTTGCCTCAGTATATGACACTACATCGGATGGTCAGCCTGGGTTTGGGGCCTAATTTATCATCTTCAGCACAACTGCCCTCTCCCCCATTCGTTTAGAGAACAGAAGCCTGTGTCAGAATCACGGCAAGGAGACTGATGGAGAGATTCTGGATTCTCCTCCAAGCTCCCCAAGCTAAACCTCTGGAATTGGGAATGCACATTTTAAACAAGCTCCCTAATTGCCAAACTGCCTATTTATAAGAGTATTTTTGCAGGATCCTAATACATACTAAGCTTTATAGGGATTACTGTGCAAACTGAGGGAAATTAGGCTTCTTGGTCCTAAACTACCAAAAGTTGTTCACCACTCTGGAAGATCATCTCATCAGTGCCCATGCGCTCATGGCGTTGTCCACACAGCACTTGGGTGGCTGCCGTCAGGATGAAGCCGAATGCCCTCAACTGCTACCCTACTCCACACCTTCCACTGAACAGAGCACCTCCCTACTGAAACATAATTACTTGTTACTTTCTTTCATTTTTTCTATTACCATCAAGAACTTACACTGATTCTTAAAATACATGCATGAATTTTCTAAATTGTTTAAGAATTTCAAGATAGCTGCATAAACATTTATAATGAACAAGGAGAGACTGGGTCTGAAAAGGACTGGGAAGCATTGCTCTAGGTCACACACACACTAATGTTTCATAATGCTGCCGTCTGCCCCCGAGTTCTAGTGATTTAAATATGATCTTATTATGCCCAGGGGACAAAACATTTTCCAGCAAGATATATACCATCAACTTTTAATGGAAGAGAGTGGGTAAATCAGATTCCCTTATCAGACTTTGTTAGATGACAGTTCCTGTATTTAATAAGGCCCCACTGTCCTTTGCAGGTGCACTAATTCTGTGTTATTCTGCCTTTCAAGCTATCAGGAATGAAACAGAGGACAGGCGAGGTCTAAGCAATGAACAGAATTCTGGGACGGAAGAATATTTAGTAGAACATGAAGGTGCCGTGATGCTGTGCTACACCCTCTCATAAGTTCTCACCCCCACAAAGGTCCTTGAGACCCTTATTCCACAGGATAGGGAAATGAAGCTAAGAGAGGCAAAGGACCCCAACTTTTATAGCTAGTAAGTGGATCCGAGTGTATCTGATTTCAAAGGCTATTCTTTCCAAAGCACAATGCTGGCTATCTGAGTTTAAAAAAACTTTTCTTGATTATTTTCTCTTTATAGAAATACAAGCTTCTGATATGATTCTCCTCCAAATCACATCTGAAATTATACTATAGATAAATAGAAGAAGCAAAAAAATCACCGAAGTTCCACACTCAGAGAAAATCACTATATTTTCTTGGATCCTTCAAGACCTCTCTCTGTACACATGGAAAACATCTGTACATTTAAAAAACTTGTGGGATATGATAAGATTTTTTACTCTTACTCATTCAACATCACATAGACATCTTCTTTTCCTTTGTCAATACAGATCAAATATTCCATTCCTAACAGCCTGTATTTCATTATATTCAAAAACAATATATTCATCCTACCTTTGACTGAACAATTATCCTTTTACATATTTTAAGCAAAATGTTTCATACGGCTATAATTTATATTTGCTGGATTATGAGAATGCCAATATTCTCATGCACACTGCATTCTGATGGATGGAAAAAACAGGATGTATGAAACTCATGATAAAATGGATAAATCACAGGCTCATGGGATAGACTTCTTGTGTGAAAAGCAGGGAGGAAAATGCCTTCAAATGATGAACAGATAAGAGTGCTACAACAAAGAAGATGGCAGGCAGGCTATAAGGTGAAGAGGATGCCACCTTAGCACGGCCAGCTCCATCATCCTTACCATGCCATTCATCCCGGGCATGCACGTTCCGCCACAGAAACAGAAGGAAGCGCAGCTCTCAGGAGGTCATAAGCAGGCTGCATCCTGACAGAGCATGTGCTGAGCTCCCGCTCTCCGTGTCAGCTGCGGTCCTCAGGACTGCACCCTCACAGGCCAACTTCAAGGCACAGCACAAGATTCAGCACCTCCCTGGCATCTGATTCCCAATCTCTTAAATGCTTTCATAAATTTCGACTGACTTAATAGTTAAAAGTGATTCAATAATCCATGTGGTTTGATCATCCTAATTTGTGTGTGACGTTTTCTGTCCACATTTGTGACAGCTCAACAGTGTGTCTGGAGGTGACCACTGTGCTGGGGTTACTCCCTACACAACATGGCACAAGGCTCTCTGTACCGAGGCACCTGTTTACATGGCAATACATCCTAGAATAAGCCAGTTTCAAAGAAGAGGCAAGTTTTTATTGTTTTCCAGAAGTTACTCCAATTTACACTTGTAAATAATGCACAAAGATGGTTTTCCATGTCTTTATCCAAACCAGCTACCGTATATCTTCAGATATCTTCCAATTTAATAGGAGAAATGCCTCCCCTGCACCATTTATTTGCTTACAAGTAGCTGTTTGAACACCTTTCCACAAACTGACTCATCAGTGGGATGACACCATTTGTGTATTGTCTCTGCCTGGCTTTCTTGTCACAAATGAGGTATTTTTTTGTAGAGGCAGCGCTTTGTTGACCATCTACATGGCAGATGGAATTTCCCACTTGGTGACTTGTTTTAAATTTCTTCTGCTCTATAAACATTTTGAACTCTTATTTAAGCAAATCTATTGATCTTTCTTATGGTCTGGCATTGGCATCATGTTTAGAAAGTCCTTGTTCATCCAAAAGTAGTTTCTCCTAGCACTTGCGCAGCTTCATTTTTTTAATGTTTACTTTTGATCTGCTGGGATTTATGTCCATATACGGAGGATGGAATCCAGACTTAGGTCTTTCCAGATGACTTCAACAGTTGTCTCAACAGGTCCTGTGCGCTGCCTTAGGTGCTTTTATTCAATAGGAAGTTTATTAAGGTGACTTTTTATGCTTTACCTAGTAATTTTTTCCCTAATCAGCTAAGTAGCACAAGTAACTCTACTGACACTTTTACTAATACACTTCTATGCGTCAAAACACACAGGCCATTCTTGAGTGTTTCACCTCAGCTGTTTTTATGATGTTGCTGACTTCTGCTCACCTTTCAGTCTGTGTGTCCCTAAAATATGCTTTCATGGCTCTGCATTTCTGCACAGTGTTGGTCATCTTATTTTTAGGAGCTACTTTTCTGCCAAATATCCCTTTTCAAGTGAAGAAAGAAGCCAATGAACACAGCTTAAATGGGTGCTGTGCCTTCATTATCACCCTGACATGTACATTACCTAGTACGGTTGCAGTCCAGGTGGTCTGGCTGGGTCTTCTATTTCACTGCCCCAGGAGGCAAATAAACAGAATCCTTTGTCGGAAAACATCAATATTTGTGCTGCAATGACAGTATATGATCATGACACCATGAAACATGACATTTAGGAATAAGATGCTTTATGCCAAAATTGAGTAAAGTTTTATCTTCCCTAAGACCCATCAAGTCTCATAAGCTAACTATACAATCTTGTATTTTCTAAAAGTATATTTTAAAACAGCTAATTTCTCATTTTTCTTATGATAGGATATTCAAAAGTGAAGTCACCTTTCCACCTGTTTCTAGTCACTGGTCCAACTAAGTCTGTTCCTAAGTCTCATGTGTGGCCTTCTGACCCACGTCACACAGTGAGGGAGGGAG